ACTCTAATCTGGGAGGACCGGGTTTGATTCCCCACCCCGCCACGTGCAGCTGCTGCGTGACCGTGGACAAGCCATCGTTCTCTCTCCCTGGTCCAAAACAGTCCAGTGGCACCTTTAAGACCAAGTTTTATTCAGGTACAAGCTCTCCCTCCTCTGCCAGGACAGATCTACACGTTCCTCCCCCCCTCCAATACCTAGCAATCCAAAACAATCCAGTGGCGCCTGAGCGGTGGGTGTTGCCTTCTGACACACTTCCGGTGATGTCAGAGGGTGTGGTGTATGCAAATAAGTTATGCTAATGAGTTATGCTAATGAGCTCCTGCACCTCTTTTTCTACGAAAGGACCCCTGCTCAGAGCTATACTCTCAAGAGAACCGGGTTTGGTCCCCCACTCCTCCGTGTGCAGCTGCTGGTGTGGCCTTGGGTCAGTCATAAGTTCTCTCAGAGCTGTTGTCTGAAGAACAGTTCTCTCAGAGCTCTCTCGGCCCCACCTACCTCTGTTGTGGGGAGGGGAAGGGAAAGGAGATTGTAAGCCACTCTGGGACTCCAGGTGAAGGGCGGGGTATATATCCAATCTCCTCCTCTTCTTCTTGTCAGTTACAAGTTCTTTCAGAGCTGTTCTCTCAGGGGCAGTTCTCTCAGAGCTCTCTCAGCCCCACCCACCTCACAGGGTGTCTGTTGAGGGGAAGGGGAAGGAGATTGTAAGCCACTCTGAGATTCCGAGTGAAGGGTGGGGTATATATCCAATCTTCTTCTCCTTCTCCTCCTCTTCTTCTTCTACCTGCTTCCACTACCCCCCTCCCCCATTGCCAATATAAATTGGGGGACTAGAACTGGATTATGGTACCATCTGGGGGTTTCTAATTTAATCTACAGATTTGTATTTCGGACTGTTTAATGGGATTTTATACGTTCTACAAAGCTGTGTTGTGAAATGCCCTGAGCCCGCTCATAGGAAGGGCAGTAGAAAAGTCTAATAAAATAAAATAAATACATGATAGACCTTCTTCCTAAAATGCTGAAGAGGTAGTATTGGGGGAGATATAATCATACTCCATGAAATTCAATGGTGTGTACATTGGACATAAGAACATAAGAGAAGCCAATGTTGGATCAGGCCAATGGCCCATCCAGTCCAACACTCTGTGTCACACAGTGGCCAAAAATACCTGGTGCCGTCAGGAGGTCCACCAGCGGGGCCAGGACACTAGAAGCCCTCCCACGAACCAAGAATACAGGGCAGTGGCCCCAGACATAAGAACATAAGAGAAGCCAATGTTGGATCAGGCCAGTGGCCCATCCAGTACAACACTCTGTCACACAGTGGCCAAAAATACCAGGTGCCGTCAGGAGGTCCACCAGCGGGGCCAGGACACTAGAAGCCCTAAAGGGGAGAGGAATTGCTTGCACCAGCCCTTCCGTTGACTTCAGTGCATTTAGCAGAATACATTTTGGACCCATTTGAAAAGAGAAGAGAGAGAGAGAGAAGAGATTGGATTTATACCCTTGCCTTCACTACCCAAAGGAATCTCAAAGCAGCTTACAACCTCCTTTCTCTTCCCCTGCCTACAACAGACACCCTGTGAGGTAGGTGGGGCTGAGAGAACTCTTTCGAGGACTGCTTCTTGAGACAACAGCTCTGAGAGAACTTGTGACTGACCCAAGGCCACACCAGCAGCTGCACATGGAGGTGTGGGGGACCAAACCCGGTTCTCCCAGATTAGAACCCACACTCCTAACCACTACACCAAAGCAGGGCCCACCCTCATGCATACGGAGCACGGTCACGCATGCATGCGGGCCTCCATGGGGACATTCCACTGAGCATGCAAAGGCTGGGGTTGTTGTGGGGTCAGTGGGTGGGATTGCACATCCCTCTCCTAGATTTAAACATCCACACAGGGCCAGAATGTGAATCTTAGACAGCCATGTGATAACTTAACAGTGTGTATGTGTGTGTGTCTAGCAGCAGCAGTCTGTACCAGCACAACAAATGGTGAGCAGAATTCTATCGCTCCCTTCCTTCCCGAGATTTCTGGTGAGTGCCGTAGCATGTCAAACAGAAAGAAGGCCAGAGTCGCAGGAGGTCTGTCTCCCCTCGAGTTTTTGTTGCCCCTCCATGTGACGAGTTCAACCCAAGTGAATTTCTACCAGCGAAGCAAAGACAGGGTGATCAATGTGTTCGTGTTAGCAGGGGTTTTCGTCCTCCGCCCTGCACAATTAAAAGAATAATCCAGCCGCATTGGCACATGCAGCAGTGTTCAAAGAAGAAAGAGGAGAAGGGTTTCGAAGAACTCAAAATACTCAATGTTTGTTTCCTTCGCTCTGATTTCAAGAATGGCTGGCTGGCTGGCTTCATTGATTAATGGATTTTTATTTATTTATTTATTCATTCATTTAATTTATATCCCGCCCGCCCTGCCTAGGCAGGCTCAGGGTGGCTTACGTAGGATATAAAACAATTAAACCAGAATTAGATAAAAACAGAGCAATATAATTATGAATGTTATAAAATATAAAGTGCTAGTTGATGTCAGATGGCGGGCTTAGCAGCATCCTCAGACAACAGCCGGCCAATAGCATAGTCGGGGCTAACTGTCTGTTGACCGTGGTGTTAGTATTGGACCAGGGCTACAATTGCTTGGGTACAGCTCCCTAATCGAAGGCCTGGTGGAAGAGCTCCGTCTTGCAGGCCTTGCGGAACTGTAAGAGGTCCCGCAGGGCCCTGATGTCCTCTGGGAGCTCATTCCACCAGTGCGGAGCCGCCACTGATTGATGTTATTTATAATCCTGACGCAAGCATTAGCTGCAGGACCCGAACCCCGGAGAGCAACGTTCAAATCCCTACAGGGCCGTGCAGTTCACCAGGTGACCTTGGGCCGCCGACCTTCTCTGAGCCTCACCTACCTCACAGGACTCTTGTGAAGATAAAACCAAGGGACACCAGGCCCCGAGAGCCAGCGTGGGGTAGTGGTTAAGAGCGGCCTGCTCTGATCTAGAGACCCAGCTTTGATTCCCCACTCCTCCTCCACATGAAGCCTGCTGGGCGATCTTGGGCCAGTCACTGTTCTCTCAGACCCACCTACCTCCCAAGGTGCCTATTGTGGGAAGGAAGAGGTGATTGTAAGCCGCTTGACTCCTCAGGTAGAGAAAAGCAGAGTAAACCTACTCCTAGGATACGGGGAGGAAAAGAGATGTAGTATTTAGAAGTACACACCAGGTAAATCTCTCTCTCTCTCTCGTTTGGCACATTTCTCTTCGCTTTCACAGATATCCATCGTTGCTTTGCCGATTTGTAACTTGGGCACCTGCTTTTCCTTCCTTTTTTCCTTCCTAGATTCTGTGCTTACCCCCACCCCCGCGCAGTACACGCGAGCGCGAGCGGTCGGCGGCTTGTGAAGCAGCGCACCTAATCCGCTGCTGAAAACTGGACATCAAATTATAATAGAGGCCACTACAAAATGAGAATCGATTCCCACCCCCGTCAAACAACGTCCTGCAGATTTAAGACTGATGTGTGGTTTTTAAAGTGCTTTTATAACCTAAAAAGTGTGAAATGCCGTGGCCGTTAAACCCCGAGTCCTGACGAGCAGGTGAACAGAACAGAACTCTGGGCCGGTGGCAGAATCTGCCCTGACACTGGTATTCAGAGTTCTAGAGGTTCCCATTGATGGAGGTCCATCCGTGGCTGCTAGCCATGGGGAATAAAGGGAACCTTCATCGCCAGAGGCAACAAACCTCTGCATCTTAGTGTCGGGAGGCGGCAGAGGGGAAGGGCCTCGGCCTCCATGCCCCAGTTGTTTGGCCCTCTGGGGCAACTGGTTGGCTTCTGTGGTAGGGTCCGTGTGCCACGAAGAGTGGAAGATGGACCGAGCTGACCCACGGACCCAATCCTGAAATATTAACATAGTATGTGCAGGGAGGCACACCTGTTGCTTCCCTGCCAGGCCAAACCATTTCATTTTGCTCAGGATTTGAACTAAGAGGAGGGGGGTCTTTTTTTAAAGCTATTTTTAAAAGTCTGCCCACCAGAGGAAGGTTCCCATTCCTCTGGCAGAGGCGGGGGTTTGCCCGCTTTTGCGGCCCCCAATCCACCAGCCCCAATCCAGCCAGGTGAGAACTGGCAACCCCACTCCTGGGCCTGCATTATGGATGTTCAATGGTGGGTTTCTGTCATCTTTATACCCATTGCTTGTTTTTAACGCTGGGAACTTATTGCTTCTGTTTCTATAGTTTTATGATATTGTTTGTAGCCTTGAGAAGATCTCCGGACAACTGTGCGTTCATTCCCTAAATAAATACACCAAATGGTATTATGGCCACTGGCCACTGCCTTGATCTGGATAGCACCTCTCTGTTATGATCCTTTCCACACTAGACCTTAAACCCTGGTTCAACCCTGTCCCCCAACTTACATTCCACACTACACGCGAGTTCACCGCTGTAATTATCTCGGGGTATTTTTACATTCCACGCTACACACGAGTTCACCCCTGTAATTATCTCGGGGTATTTGTACATTCCACACTACACTCGAGTTCACCCCTGTAATTATCTTGGGGTAGTTTTACATTCCACACTACACTCGAGTTCACCCCTGTAATTATCTCGGAGTATTTTTACATTCCACGCTACACACGAGTTCACCCCTGTAATTATCTCGGGGTATTTGTACATTCCACACTACACTCGAGTTCACCCCTGTAATTATCTCGTGGTAGTTTTACATTCCACACTACGCTCGAGTTCACCCCTGTAATTATCTTGGGGTATTTTTTGTTTCCACATTACATTGCGGTCACCCTAGTTTCACCCCACACTTGTCCCGAGAGAAATGGATGCTGTTATAACCAGGGATAAATGCAAGGTATTGTGTCCCAAGTTGAACTCTGATAAAACTAAGGTTGAAATCCAAGTGCGGAAAGGACCTATGACCAACGGTTGAAAATAATACCAGCACCATAAAGTACTTAGCAGGCTTTTCCTCTTTCCCATGGCAGGCGACCGATTCAGACTACGAAGATGAACTGCCGAAGCACTCATTCGTGAACCATTACATGAGCGACCCCACCTACTACAACTCCTGGAAGCGGCAGCAGAAAGGCACGAAGCATCCGGCGCCATACCGGTATGAGGAGTGCATGGCAGGTGAGGCGGAGCCTTACTTCCAGACTGTCATCACGACACAGAGTTCAGGAGGGGTCTACACCCCGACTGGACAGGCCCCCCCGGGCTCACGGACTCCAGTGACAGGCTTCTCCTCGTTCGTCTGACACCCGGGAGGTACAGGACAGCAGACAGCACTGCTCAGACCACCTGCCTAATTTGGAACAGCTGCCACCACCCAATCAGAGGACTGTATGCGTGACTATAGGTGCAGTGAACTGTGGGTAAATTTCTCTTATCAGGGTAGAATGGATGTAAATGTGAATGTCTCTATTTTTTCCCCCAAGACAATCAACTCTTTAATCACATGGAGCTGAACTAGTTGAACTTGCTTTTATTTTATTTTTTCTAAAAAAAAAAAAGGAAGGGGAAAAAACCCACCCACGAACTATCAAGAAATGACACTTCTAACCACTGGATCGTTGGTAAAATATGATTTCAAGGAGTGTTTTCTTTCATTTTCTCTTTTTTTAAAGACAAGAAAAATGCTTTTGTAACACTGATTTGGAAAGCAGCTTATTAACGGGGGGGGTTCCCTCCCCCCTTCCCTCCTTTTTCCTTTTCCCTCACAAGCAAGGAAATGAATTTCACACTTCTGGATAGGTAGCGCTATTGTTATGCAACTGAAGGTGAAAGTATACATTCTCTTGAGCAGACCCCTTCCCTTGCTGTTTCATCCCAGTCAGGTAGGAAAACACAAAGTGTATGTGTGTTGGTGGAGGGGAGACATTTTAGGAATGGTTCTATATTCTCACGCCCCCTTCTCCTCACTTCACTTGCCTTCCCGGCACCGTCTGGATCGCTTTGTCTGAGTGTCATGTTTCTCCTCACGCCTGCGAGGTTCTCCACTGGTGGGTTTTGATCAAACTTATCTCCTGCCTTCTTTTCGATTCTGTTCCAACTGAGCTTATTGTGTTCCTTTAAAAAAAAAATCCCCCCCTCCCGCTCCAGGGGGTTCCTGTTGGCTCAAAAGCACCGTGGGTAGTGGTTGGGGCCGAAGCGGTTGGGGGAAATGTTTTGCTCTTATCGAGGGTCCTCAGATTCCTCCCTTTGTAGATTGCATGTGCCAATGTCCATTGTAAATCCAAAAGAAACACACACACACACACGAATACGCAAAAGGCAGCCGAGTGAGAAGAGGGCCTTTTGAACGAACGTGACATTTAGGAACTCGCGGGGGGGGAACGCGTCGGTTGAGTGGCGCTTATTTGGTTTTCAGAGGTGTCCTTCCAGATAGAGGAAACCAATCAGCCTTCCCTCACCCCCTCGTCGCCTCCCCCCAAAAAAGTACATGTTGTTAACACCAAAATTGTTTGATTTTTTAAAAGAAATGTATATTTTTAATGATTTCCCTTTTTTTTAAATACAAAGACACGTCATACTCTGGCGGGTGAGCTTTTCTTTGGTGTCCGCGGGTGCCTTTCCCATGATTGTTCCGCCACCGGCATGAGAGGCGCAGCAGCCGAGCCTCCAAATGAAGTTCGAGCTGCTTTGCTAACCATGGGGCCACAAATTACCTTGTGTGCATTCCCTCCCCAGCTGCCTTTCTCTCTCTCTGCGGGTCTGTACTCTGCAGCTTCAACGCCTTGGCCTTGGCGGGGTGACCAGAGCCCATTTTGTTCTCTCTGTTGCCCGGCCTTTGACCCCCAAGGAGGCGGGCCATCTCCATTCTGCCAAGGCCCGTTATGTTTTACTGCTGGCTGCTCTGTTTGAAGGGGAAGCCGTGGATCCCTCTCCAGACACTAAGCGCCATGTGACCCCAGCACAGAGCAGAAGAGGCCTTTATAAACAAATGGCATCTTTGGAATTGTCAGTCTCTTCTGAACACGGGTGGGGCCATGAAAGCCGACCTTGTGCGAATCGCTCGTGCGGCTGAATAGGTCGTTTTGTCCATGTCCGCTCAAGCACAGGTAAGAACCCGGCATTAATCTGGCCATATCGGTGCTGCTTCGCTGGTATTTTTCCCCCAATCCAGAAATTAGTCTCAATATCATGCAAAATTTTGTACTTTCGAACATTCGACTGGCAGCTCGAGTGCCCCTTTCGTCACAGACGCAACTTGGAAAGCTGCTACCTTCAGTCTTCATCTCAGTAATGCCTGGCGTGTTCTTTGCTGTCCTCCAGAGAGGCCTTCTTTGTGTTCTGTGTTCCTACAGCAAAACATGTCAGGGTGCTTGGTGTCCTCCTCTTATTGAGGAAGCAAAACAAACACCTGGGTTCAAATCCGCACTCAGAAAATGAAGCTTGCTGGGGAACTTTGGCCATCCCTTTGTGTCAGCCTGCCCTACCTCACAGGGGTGTTGTGAGGATAAACTGAGGGAGGGGGAGCACCTTGTGTTCCTTGGAAGGAGTGATGGGATAGAAACCAAATGACAGAGTTTCTCAACAGGTGAAACTTTCAACACTCAAAGTATGCGAACGGCCGTAAATTCCCATAATACTAATATTTCTAGGTTTCAGAACTGGTCGCACAAGACTTCCCAATGAAAGCTAAATTTTGACTTTGTAGAAATTACAGCTTCTCAGCAAAATTTGAGATTTGGAGTACAAACCTCATTATATTGCGTTAACACCGTTTACACCTTTGCAAGTTTGCGCCTCTACGTTCACTTGTAAATTATATTTCCCACCATTCCGAGATGAGGCAACTAAAATTTCCTCCAGCAAACAGACACAAAATGGCTGCTGCAGGGGATGGACCCAGCTACAAAATGGTTCCCCCAGCTTACCTTCAGTTACACAGCGAAGATCCTTGTACCATGGTGGCAGCTGCTACCAAAGCGATGGGGGAAGTGTTTTAAAAACACTTGGCGAGCTCCAGAAAAGGTGTCAACGGTCGCCATGGCGCTCACAGCTACCACATTGGAGACCTGTGGCTTAAATAAGCATGTCTTCATATATCACAGCAAATGGTCATCATGGCGCTCACAGCTACCACATTGGAAACCTGTGGCTGAAATAAGCATGTCTTCATATATCACAGCAACGAACATAAGACGCACCAAACCTGCATGTTAAAAGGAACACATCTGATCGCATTTTGTGTCTTAGAGGGTAACACAATTCGGGTACATTTGACTTTTTCTCTTACGACAAATTGTGTATCTTTCGAAGAAATGGCACGTAGTTGTTTACACAATGCACAAGCAATTGCGTTCGGAGTGCCAACTGGGTCGAGTGAACTTTTCCAAAGTCTCTGGCACGAAACCGAACCAGCACGTCGAACTTTTCAATATTTACGGGGACATTACAGCAGACTTGCCCGGATCTTCTACCATTTTGTCTCTTAGTGACAACCAGCCAATCATAACTTGAAACTCCCAATGATAGTAATGATTGCCCCGCCTTATTTGGCCATGGATTCTGGGTCCCCAGAGAAAGATTGCTTCTGAACATGGAGGTCCCATGGGGGCTAGGCGGCGATGGACCTGACCCCTCAACTTGGCACGTTGAAGGGATGCCAAAGATCAGTCTTGAACTTGGAGATCCAGAGAAGCAGATCTAAAAGTGGTTCCACCGAGAGAAGTCTTTGTCTCACTTTTCTTTGGGTTGGATCGCTCTGGGGGGAATGACACACAGAAGAAAACATGTCTGAACAGCCACCAGTTCCCCTGAGCGCGAATCCGTAATGGAAAGAGGCTGTTCTTCTTTCCTGAGAGCATTTACCAACGGTAAGAGGAATTGGCTTTATAAAACGTTCCCCTCCGTGTCTTTGCTTTTCAAATGGAAGATCTCAAGGGTGATTCTTTTAAGACTTGTTGACACTAACGGAGTAATTCCTGCTCTCCCAAACCACATCCATCTCCATAATCGCGTTTTTATTGGCTGTGTTTATTCAGTTACAACCGGAGTCCAAAGAGGGCGGGCAATTCAGAAGCACAGAATTGGATACCCTGAAGACACAGGAATTGAATTACACCTCCTTCCCCTCATTACCATGGATTAGGCATTTGACAGGGCCGAGCCTCCGACCAGTCGTGCTTAGGCACTAGCTATAACAACAGGATTAATAGCAGATTTTTTTTAAAAAAAATTGTTCACCAGGGATATAGAATCAATGTCTGCACGGTCACACAACTCGATGAACAACAGTTACAGGTAAGTGCAACCCTGTTTTCCTCTACAGCTAAAAGCTCTGGGAATCATACCTTTTAAAAGTGAAGCAACCTTTCCCAACAACCTTTTATCCAGACAGGCCTTCTGGTGTAAACAGCCTGTCTCAGGTCGGATGAGCAATCATTTCACGTCTAGCAATCCATCGGCGTCCGCTTTCCACTCCGTCCTTATCTGGACCACTCGCAGAATTTGTCTGGTACTTATTAGAAAAAAGTAAAACCTGCCTCCGTTCCAAGCCTTCCTCACAAAAGAGATAAGAAACATCAATTTCAAAGGACGTTCCATCAAATAATGTAGAGGGTGGGTTGAGGTTCCACCCCGAAAGGTGTTTGATGGGTCCCCGAGTGCGCTGATCCTACTTCACCCAAACTCCAGAAAGGACTACAGAATACAGAACACATTCTACAATCGAGACAATCTACAATTATCTGGAATGAGGCCCAGCATGCTCTGGATATAGGGAGGGGCGGTGGCTGAGTGGTAGAACATCTGCTTGGCATGCAGAAGGTCCCAGGTTCAATCCCAAGCATCTCCAGTTAAAAGAACCAGGCAGGAGGTGATGTGAAAGACCTCAGCCTGAGACCCTGGAGAGCTGTAAAGAGGGGCTGTGGCTCAGTGGCAGAGCCTCTGCTTGGCATGCAGAAGGTCCCAGGTTCAATCCCCAGCATCTCCAGTTAAAAGGACCAGGCAGTAGTTGATGTGAAAGTCTTCTACCCAAGACCCTGGAGAGCTGCTGCTAGTCTGAGCAGACAATACTGACCTAGATGTACTGATGGTCTGATTCAGTGGAAGGCAACTCTGTAAGTCTGAATAAAGTTTTGGCAAGGGGGCCGTGGCTCAGTGGCAGAGCATCTGCTTGGCATGCAGAGAGTCCCAAGTTCAATCCCCAGCATCTCCAGTTAAAAGGATATGATAGTGTCAATATTGCGCGGTGCTAGCCCACTGCAGACCGAACACGGGTGCAAGGATATCCAATAAAGACTGGAGTCTTCAAGGCTTGTGTAAAAGTAATGTACAGTTTATTTTACAAAGCCTCCACCAAATAATTACACTGAGTGACGTAATGCTCCGCTGACAACCAATATTCCAAGAAGAATGTTCAGCACAGTACCTCACTGTACTTATACAGCCATTGACCAATCGGGGCCAATGCTGAGTC